AACAGTGATAAAAATTTAATTGATTTAGAAGTAAATTTATCAACAGTTAAACAAAGAATAGAAAATTATTTAAAGCAAAACAGATAAATACAAAATGTTTGTTATGGATTAGTAGTTGCAAAATTAATTTATGAATATTATATTATTTACATATAAGGAGAGAAGCAATAATTTTTCAGTTACACTCTCAAAAATGCTTGATAAAAATTAAATTATATCATATTATATTTATTTAATCAAAATATTTTCAATGAACCACCAAGGCGAAGGAACGCTGTTCGGTGCAGTTATTATTATTATTAGAACAGTAGCAGCAAGAAGAAGTGGTGTTTCATTTTGGTGTGCGTACGGAAGCGGTCTGGTCCAATGGGACATGGTTTTTGTCATTTCATATATTTTGTATGAACGGTCCAATGTACCGCTTCTGTACGTTTACGTTATTTTGATATTGTGCTACAATTCAATAAAATCGTGCGGTGATTCTTACCTTCTACTTTATTCTTTAGACATGTTTAATTTGGTTCTTTTGTATTTGGCTATTAATTGTACAGGCTTGAATTACATACTGAAAGTAGCAACACAAAACCTGAGCTCATATTCATGGACCAAATTGAAGAAGTATCACCAGAATTTGTTCAGTATAAAAATGAACAATGTATTCAAATTCGATTCCGTGATGGTATTCGTGATGGTCGTGTTGTTCTCACCAATCCTGTAGGTATCTTCTCTACTGTATTAATAAAATTTAAATAACTCAAATTATTGATATGCATTTTTAGGATGAAATCGGATTAAAAGAATGGGCTTTATCGTTACGATCAGCGCATAAATTATCACAAGAGCTGCTTGGTTCAATGGCTCGAAAAGCTGGAAAAATTTACGGTACTCTATTAAAAAAAAACATTAACATTATTGTTTTATAAATATTGTGAGGGCGTACGCTTGTAAAACAACACGCCATCAATGCATGATCAAAGTCTATCAATGACCAATAGGAAAACCATGATAAGCACTTATTTCTTCTAAGCATGGCCTGGACATGCCTATGTAATTTACATATAAACGAGTGAGACTCAAACATGTGCTTCTTCTTCAAAACATACATACACACAAACTCACAAACATCAAAAGTATACGCCATAACAGCAGTGCATGCGCAGTGCGCACGCTACTCAGCTTTGTTTCTGTGATGAATACTTATTGACTTCTGCTGTACATGTGATGCTTGTGTATATATTGTTTTGAAGAAGAAGCACATGTTTGAGTCTCACTCATATCCGCTCCTTGCTTATAAGATATAATTTTAACATCCATACCTATGAAAACGGTCGTGGGACTGTCCGTAAGCAACATTACAGCATGTTGCACATTTACCGTGCTATTTATGCACAAAATTGATGAAAAGTTTTTCGAATTTAAATATAAATAGATGGAATACATTTTCAATTGTGCAACACACATTGGGATGCGGTGATTCCGCTCAAAATGTGCATACACGTGAACCAAATAAGTTAAAAAACTAAGAAAAAACTGAGCTTGATTTCTTAATTTTCGATGTTGAGCAAAAAATCGAATAATTCATATGCGAATTAACGTCATTTTCCAATTTAAATCATTTAGTTTTACATCATCCGATGCCACACATGGTTCCCATACAAAATTCACATTTATGGCCATTTTTGCGAACATGAAAAGTGTATCGATAATTTATTTTATGTGTGTACCCTGTACGCAAAAATTTGTTAACACGATAACTTTCAAACAAGAAAATCAATTCAAAATCTGACTTCACAATTGAAATTTTTTTCAGCCCGAAAATATTTTTCCACAAATTCATTTTGGTAACTTTCTTCTTTTGGACTAAAATGTGGTATCAAAAACTCGACCCCAAAATTGACCCCATATTCGGATTTCTCGTGAAAAATTACCCTGAGCTTTCCAAACATCATGTACCTCAAGACTCCCCTGTACCTTAAAATCGGGACAAAAAATGGAAAAAAAATGATATCAAATACAATTTTTGCACTGGCCATATCTTGAAAACAAGAATTTTCTGGAATATAAGCTATGCGGCGTTTTCAAGCTTACCAGTTGGTTAGATTTTGGCATAAAATCGGTGAAATTTTCAAGGGACCAAGTAAGGCTAGTTTTCAAAATCATTTAGGCCGATAAGTCTATCGTCATTCCTCTTGAAGGGACTGGAAAGACTCATCGAAGGACATCTGCATGAAAGCCAACATGCTTTCCAGCAGGGTCGTTCAACAGAAACGGCGCTTCATGAAATAGTTTCTATGGCAGAGAAAACATTCTCTGACAAAGAATATATGGTTACAACGTTTATGGACATCGAAGAGGCGTTTGACAACGTATCATTCGTGGCCATAAACACAGCCGTAGCAGGAAGCACCGAGTAGCCTTTGCGCTCTTCGTCTCTGTGTATGTACATGTACAAGCAGAGTCGTGCGTTTGCAATGTAGCGTGCACGCAACGAAATAAGACTTATTTCTAAGCATTATAAATAAATATCTTACTATAAATATGTCGCGGTAGTCCCTGCACACAAACGGGCGTCTATCAATAGGTTAAAAAACCTGAGCAACGAGAAACTATGGATGTTACTGAAAAGTAGACCTAGACAATAGGCTAGTTTTCGAGATAATAATAATAATAATTGCACCGAACAGCGTTCCTTCGCCTTGGTGGTTTATTCAAAATAATTTAAATAAATACAATATAATTAAATTCTTGCATCAAGCAGTTTTGAAAGAGATAAATAATAATTATTATAAAAAGATTTCATTTATGTTTACAATTCATCTATTTTCTTTCAAATATTTCTCAATTCTCAGCTTTGCCGTCGATAAATTTTCTTCTAAATCAATCAAATTAGTATCACGATTTGGTATTTTCTTTGTATAATAATCATTGAATGTAATAAGCATATAATTAATTGGTTCATATTTTGTGTAATCGATTCCCCTAACTGGAATATTAAAAAGCGGTATTGCACGGGTATTATGCGCTGAATTATAATAATTTAAACTGTTTGATATATGAGTTGACTTCATATCTCCATTAATAATTTTGAAGATCGTCTTTCCTCCAGCGTAATCATTTGTAGAAACTATGCTCATATTTTGAAAGCATAAAGTAAAAATTGTTTTTGTATTGACTCTATTCTTTTGCACATATTATCGTAGTGTGGATTCCATATTTCCGATCCATATTTGGCTTTAGCCGTGACATGTTCAATGTGTGATTTGAAATTCATTTGCACATCAAGCAACACTCCCAAGTCCCTTATTATAAAGACTCTTTCTATTTGAACGCCGCCTATGTTGTATTTGTATTCATATTGCAGTGATCCCCGATGATATGATATGATCTTTGTTTTGTTTACATTTAATTTCAATAAATTGCGTCCATAATAATCTGCTACACGATCCAAGTCATTCTGTAGATTAATGCAATCATCTGTTGAGGAGATACATTTTGAAATTTTTGTATCATCAGCGAATGAAAGTATACAAGAATCGCTAACGACGAAAGGTAGATCAATAACAAACATGATGAACAAAGTAGCGCCAATTGGATATCCTTGATCCGTCTCAGATGTAACTTTGATTGGGTGAGATTTGGTATCTGCTATCTTTACAATTTGTCTGCGACCAGACAAGTAAGATTTGATCCATTTTAACAGATGCTCATTCAATCCCATGATTTCAAGTTTTTGAATAAGTAAATTTAAGTTAACCGAGTCGAAGGCCTTGGCTATGTCTAAATAGATGGCTAAATTTGTTATCGTTGACCTGTTCTTGATGAATCCATGCTGACTTTCGTGTACTATGTTCTTCAAATATAGATTGAGATAGTCTGTGACGATGGAATCGAGAATTTTTGACGTAATGCACTGTAAAGCAACACCTCGGTAATTTTGAACGTTGTTTCTATCGCCGTTCTTGTAAACTGGTCTGACAAATGACGTTCTCCATAACTGCGGTACAGTGGCAGTGATTCCTTTAATACAGTGCGTCATATATTTGTAGACACACGAAAAAAAGTTTCGTTTTTATGTCAAATCCACCTTTTTTTTCGAGAGATGGCAGTAGTAACTGAACGTTTTTGACGCCATGTTTTTCTTCAGACTTTGACATTTGCTTTGTGATTTTACTCTAAATTTTTGGGGTAATTTTACAAAATAGTTTGACAGCATGTGTTTTGTAAACATACTCTAAATTTGTCGTGTAATTTAACAAAATCATTTACAACATGTGTTTTGTGAATTTACTCTGAAATTTCGGGGTAATTTTACAAAATCTTTTGTAACATGTATTTTGTAAATTTACTCTGAGATTGCGGGGTAATTTTACAAAATCGCATGTAACATGTTCTTTTGTAGATTTACCCCGAAATTTCAGAGTTAATTTACAAATTCATTTAAATGTGTTTTGTAAATTCACTCCGAATTTTTGGGGTAATTTTACAAAACCGCTTGCAACATGTTTTTGTAAATTTACTCTAAAATTTCGGGGTAATCTTACAAAACCGCTTGTAACATGATTTTTGTAAATTTACCCCGAATTTTTGGGGTAATTTTACAAAACCGCTTGCAACATATGTTTTGTGAATTTACTACAAATGTTCAGGGTATTTTTACAAAATCGTTTGAAACATGTTCTTTTGTAAATTTACTCCGAATTTTCGAGTTAATTAAAATTTCGAGTTTATAAATAAAATCGTCTATAACATGTATTTTGTAAGTCATTTTTCATTCACAATAAGTTTTCCATTTGTCCAATTTTACAATTTATTGATACTAAAAAACCACAAAAATTATTGATAGAACGCAGTACACATAGTTTTTCAACTTGTTTGTTTGTCACCAAACCAATGTCAATTGTAAATCTGATGTGTCAGGCAAGCGTTCAATTTACAGACCGTTCAAAAAAACTAACGTTCACAGAAAATTGATAGTTTTTCATTGCAATATAGATTTAATAAAGTAAAATAAAATTAATGCATCTAAATTTTTTAGAAACAATTTATTTATTTTTTAACCATTTTTTCTTTGTTAGTTTTGCAATTATTCATGCAAAAATGTATTTATTCATGAAATTAAGTCATCAAGTTTAACATCATAAAAAAGTTTATAAACATACGTATTGCGCCATCTATCGAAATATAAGATATTTTAACATTCGATGGTGAAAGACGCTATGCATGAAGTCAAAAATAAAATTATTTGTTTTTTTTTAATGGTTTTAACTGTTATTTTATTACTTTTATTATTTGATAAGATAATCAATCAATTATGTTACCAAATTTTTTTGAAAAAGTTGTATTTAAACTGATATATTTATCATTTGTAAATTTACCCTGAATTTTCGGAGTATTTTTACAAAATGATGTTGTGACATTCACTTTGACACATTTTGTAAATTTACTCCTAAAATTCAGAGTAAATTTAAAAATGACTTACAATAGAATATGGCGCCATCTATTGAAATAATCTATATTATAAAAACGAAATGCCATTCTTTTGTCCTTAACTCCTCCCACAATTTTCAACCGATCTGAACCAAACTTTGCACACTTATACTTTGGACCGAGATCTAGGTCACTATGCGGTTTTGAACCAAATTGGACTACTCCATCACGGTCGATTTTTATTTTATTAATATTTGTATGGGGGATGTCAAAATTTGTATATTTCATGATCAAATTCAGATTCCTCGGCCCAAAATTATGGGGGAGAGGTACTTTTGAAGTTGGTTTAACAGCCATCGTGGTCTAATATGAGTTAAAACATTTTATCACGGTTATCATGTTTTAACATCTTTTAACCTCGGTAAATGAGGTCAGAAATCATGGTCCATCATGTTCTAACACGATTTAACACGGCTATTGAGGTGGGAAGTCATGGTGCATCATGGTCTAA